CACACACACACACACACACACACACACACACACACACACACACACACCCCTTGCCTACTAGATAGGGTTTCATAAGCAGTCAGTGGGGTAGATTCCTCCTCCCATCTGAAACCTCTCAGAACCAGCAGTTCTCGAGGTGCTGGACATCAAGCAAAAAGGGATGTGTCTTTCAAGGCTCAGGAAGCTGTGCCAGCTCCCTGCCTCCAGTGTTCTCACAGTACAGGTGTGGGGAGGATGCCATGAACTGAGCTGTGTCATCAGGAGTCAGCAAAGCCTCACCCCTGGTGTGAGAACTTAGATGTGACTGGGGTCCTTACTGGAGCAGAAAGAGACCCCAACTCTATCTCCACACAAGCACAGCAAAGGCCACGTGAGGACACAGCAAAAAGGCAGCCATCATGGTTTGGATATGGTTTGGGGGTGTCCCTTGAAGGTTTGTGTGCTGCACACTTGGTCTCCAGTGTGACAGTGTCAATGGAGACACCTGTAATAACAGGAAACTGTTACATTAAAGCAAAACAAACCAGACTTAGAAAAGCACATAGAGCATGTTTCCTCTCATAAGCAGAATCTGAAGTTGAAATGATATGTGTGTGTGCATGCATGCATGAGTGCACCCATTTAGATACATGTGCCATTATAGATCCTGAGACTAAAAAGGCAATCATGAGAAGGAAGACTAGGCCGAGGTGGTGGGCAGTAGAAACAGCAATAGAATCCATGGGAAAGAAAGCAGAGTGGAACTGCCTAGCAAGGACAGGAAACAGTCAGAGGCAAAGGGGTACCAGGGACCAATCCACACTTGAAAATCCTCACTGGAATTCTCTGATCTCTCTTCCTGTGTTTCCCAGCTATGTTACAACTACCAGTGACAAACTGATTCCCATCAACACCCCCAGATAATCATATGGTGTTTACTCTTAGAATATAATGGGAAGTCAACACATTCTGGCCTTCTACTTATGTTAACAAGCCAAAGTTTCTTTTCAAACACAATTTTTTTTAAGAGTCAATTTAAAGAAATCCTGAGCAAATAATAAAAAAATCCAGTGGCAATTCCCAGGTATGGGAAAACATGGGGCCTTTTTCTAGGAGGACAGTGTTGGGGACACTGCTAAGAGACTGATTAGAGCTGTTTGTTTGTTTGTTTTGTACTTTAATATAGTTGTGTGAAAACCATCCAGCCATCAGGGCGGATCCAGCCAGTGGTATCTAGCCATTGTAGTGGGACAGCATGGGGCATTCCACACATGACCATGAGACTCCAAAGCTTTAGGACTTCCTGCAACTTGCACAGAGTGGCCTCCGGTACAGGTGGCCAGACGTCTCATGTTAGACTTGCTTGCCCCCTTTCAAGGGGCTGTCCTAAAACTGTTGATTCAGCCCTTAAACACTCAAGGGTTCCAACTCAAGCATCCTCCGTTGTCAAAGGTGCTGGGGCCTTTGTATGACTGGGCTCCCTGCAAATGGAATGTAAATCCCAACTGCTATGTCATGCCTGGCACCTACCGTGGCTCTGGGAACAGTAAAATTGTGTCCATGTGGGCTGTCTGTAGCTCAGTCAGTAGGGTTCTTGATTGGTATACACAAGGCTGTGGGATCGAGCCCCAGAACTGCATACCTTAAGTGGCATGGTGTGCGCCTATAACTCCAGTACTTAGAAGATAGAGACAGGAAGACCAGAGCTTCAAGGTCATCTTTATCTACATAATGAGTTCAATATCAGCCTGGATGCATGAGATACTGCCTCAAAACAATTCTTATATATGTGCATTCACACATATACAAAACTGGACAGTGGAAATTGCCTCCTTGGGACCTTTTGGCCTGGCATTTGTAGCCCAGGGAGATGTTATCTGAAGGAAAAAAAAAAAACCTAATTCCTCAGAGGAAGTGCTGTCACCTATGGAAGAGCATCTGCAGGCTGGATGCTTGGGACGATGACATGATGCCAGCATGGGGCAGAGCAGCAGGAAGGAGAGATGAGGGTGGCAGGGAGCTGGGACTGGACATGGGCAGGCAGAGGGATGTGCAGTGAAGCCTGTCTGGGCCAGCTTGTGGGCTCCGCATACCAAAACGCTCTCAGGACCCTGGGGAGTTTAGAGATTTACCATCAGTGAAGGGCAATAATCACACCAAGAGGAGCAATTATTGCCAAATCATTTAGGATTTAGAAAATCATTGGCAAGAAGATGGAGGTCAAGAGGTGTGCTGTCGGGGGAAATAAAAAAAAAATACTCTACCTGTCAGGCCGGGCTTTCACTCCTTTCTGACTATGATGTGAGAGAGGGGAGACAGACATTCACAACTGAATGGCTAGACTCCAAGGGAACCCAGAAATGCAGAGAGCTGCAGGGGGCTGTCACCATCCAAGACAGATTCTGTGCTTTGGATCTATAAAGCAGACTGTGGCTGGGCATACGGGTCGGTCGGTAGAGCATTTGTCTAGAGTGTACGAAGGCCTCCATTCTATCCCCCAGAACCACATAAGACAGGCAAGGTAGCACATGCCTGAGCTCCCGGAATTGGTAGATAGAGCAAGAGAATCAGAAGTTCAAAGTCGTCGCTGGCTATATAGTGAGGTAGGAGCTAGGTTGGGCTAAAAAGAGTAGATCCCCTCTGATCCTTCACGACTGTCTGCCTGAGGGTTGCTCCTTCACCAGCCCAGGGGCTCAGTGGAACGGAGCCTAACAGGTGACAGGCTTTGGAGGCTTGCAGGGCCAAGAAAACCTGTGTTTTGTGAGCTGTCAGCTCTCCCTGGATCCTGCAGGGCAAGACGTATGCTCCCATTGCTAGGAAGGACCCAGTGGAGCAGGAGGGTATACAACACACAAGGGGGGTCCTCAAGGGATATTTACACCTTTAGCTTCCAAGCACCTCAGACACCTGGAGGTGACACTTGCTAAGCCACTTCCACCCTGGCCTAGCACATTTATAAGGACAAACATGGCAAAGGCCAAGGATCACTGACTATTTTTTTAAATGTGTATGGGTGTTTTGCCTGTGTGAATCTCTGCGTGTCACTGTGCCTGGTGCCCAGTGGATGACTGAAGGTGCTGGATCCTCTGGAACTGGATCAGCTTATTGGGAGCCACCATATGGATGCTGAGAATGAGACTCGTGTCCTTTGGAAGACCAGGTAATGCTCTTAACCACTAAGCCATCTCTCCAGCACTGGATCTTTTTTAAAGGGAAAACTGGGTCACGGATGTAGCTTACTTAAGAAAATGCTTGACCAGCATACAGAAGCTCTGGGTTCAGTCCCCAACGCTAGATAAACCAGGCATGGTAACATACTCCTAAAATCCCAGAAACTGGTAGGTGGAAGCTGGGTATGATGGCACAAATCTTCAACCCCAGTACTTCTGAGGCAGAGGGAGGTGGATCTCAAGGCCAGCCTGTCTACGTAGGGAACTCCAGGCCAGCTAAGGCTACATAGTGAGACTCTGCCTCAAAAAACAAACAAAAGCAAACAAACAAACACACACCAACTGTGTTAGTAAAGATGTAGAGAGATGGGCAACCTGACACAATCCTTCCAAACTAGGATAAATGCTATATCCTACTTACTTACAGTTTCTGGAAAATAACAACAAAGATACAAAGATATGCACATACAAAGCTGTATACCAGGGTTATACACAAGAGGAAATGAAGATGCAACCTAATATTATCCAATAACAGGGGAATGATAATATGCATGCATATATATATAAATATGTATATGTGTATATGTGTATATATACAGAAATATGTATATATAAATATACATGTACATATGGTGAAATACTACACAGTCACAAACATTACTTCAGAAAACTGCTTAAATAAGCATGAAAGAAAGTTTTTTCAACAGATTATTAGTGGGGAAATCAAGTTTCAAGTAGCAGATAGAGGATTATTCATTTTGTATGGAAAAAGATTAGAAAGCTTAAATTGTGTTATTCTAGAATAGTGGAATGATAGTTTTTTTTTTCTTGGTACTTCTCTGAAATTTTTGATCTCCTTTGATAGACAGGAGGTTTTTTGTTTGTTTTTAATGTACATGTGTGCCTGTTTGAGTTTATGTGCATTATGTGCGTGCAGGAGCCAAAGGAGGCCAGAGGAGAGCACTGGCTCCACTAGGACTGGGGTTACAAGGAGGCTGGGAGCCACCATAGATGCTAGAACCAAACCAGGACCTCTGAACGAGCAGCCAGTGCCTTCAACCACTGGGCCATTTCTCCAGCCCCTAAACTTGTGTTTGGATGAGAAGAAAATTAACTCTACTAGAAAAAGCTCTAGAGGACAAAAACCTCCTAAGAGCTGTGAGCCAGGAGGTGTTGGAAGTAGCTTGACTGGCTCACACATAGAGCGTCTCAGCCAGGACTTCCAATCCTCCCACTCTGTGGCGCTGGGGGCTCCATGTTGGGCCAAAGCATTCAAGTCCAGCTGGGCTAGATCCACTCCTGGCTTCTGCTCTCTCTAGATTTCTAAACACACATACTCCTGATCCCAGTCAGAAGGTAGGGTACCTCATCCCCAGAGAAAACAGCTAGGAATAGGGCTCAGTGACCACAGCAGGAAGGCTTCAATGGAAAGGCTGCAGGAGAAAAGTTGTGACCCTCAAATTGTGGATGCTCCCACCACAAGCACAGACTGCCTCAACTCTTATAGGACTGACCTTTGAAACAGGAATAAATGTAGGGCACAGGCCCGTCTTACTGCCAGTCTGCTATAGACAGCCACAAGCCTGTCCCTCAATTGGTCTTTTTTTTTTAAATGCGAATTTATTTATTATTTTATGGTGGGCAGTGGGCATGAACATGTCACTGTGTGTATATGGAGGTCAAAGGGCAGCTTGCATGAATGAGCTATCTCCTTCCATCATGTGGGTTCCAGAGATCAAACTCAGATCGTCAGTGCTTTGAGCAAAGGCTTTTATGGAACAAGTGCTTTTATGACAGAGTCCATCAGCAGTCCTTGATTATGTTTGTGTGTGTGTGTGTGTGTGTGTGTGTGTGTGTGTGTGTGTGTGTGTGTTTTCAGTGTGTTGAGGGTACAGTGTAACTCTAGAAGTCAATTCTCTACTTTCTCCATTCCATGTGGGTTCTGGGGATCAAAATCAGGTCCCAATGCTTGCCCAGTACAGTGGTTTTCCCCAGGACAGCGTCTAGAGACTTCACACCTTGGGAACAGGGGGTGGTGCTACCACACCCAGCAGGTGAAGGCCAGGGAGGCTACAATACCTCCCCAGTATACAGGAAGCCTCCACCACAGCCTTAGAATTCCTAGAAGTCATGGGTAAGGTGTGCTAGTCTCCAGATTTCTGGACCCTAGAAAGAGCCTGTTTACCTCTAAGGGGGTTGAATTTCCAATTATCTAGGGTCAGCCCAGCCCTCTGCTGTTTCTAGGCTGTTTGGGAAAGATACGCTGGAAATTGGATTGGGGGCTGCAGCCACTGGAGCTCAAGCTCAAAACACCTCTGCAGAGCCATTACCAAGGGAACGGCAGTAAAGGCTTTATTGATTAGGGAAGCTCAGAACAGCCAAGGTGTGCCACATCCTGGCACATGAGCAGCCTGCAGCCCTACAAGGGGCGTTCTCATTTAAAAACAACAATAATACAGGCCCAGGGATTACTACTTGTGCATGCATGCAGTTAAGAGAAGCTTGCCTTATAATGTGTACACATCCCAATGTTCAAATAACACTAGCAAGCACTTCAGCCACACGGCAGGCTGGAGCCAGGACAGAGTGACATGAAGGAAATACACAGGTAGTGTGGTTAAACTCAGATTGCATTAGCCCGCCAAGTGCTAGGCACAAAGTCTAGGTATGCACCACAGCACACATCTGGAGGTGACAGGACAAGTTCCCTCCTTCCACCCTGGGAGGTCTGGTCATCAGGCTTGGCTCGAGGTGATTTTACAAACTAAGCTATGGCACAACCCTAATCTCTAGAACATTTTTATCACCCACAGGAGACCAGGTACTCATAAGGTGACATTTCTAGGGTGCCCATGGTTCATTCCTCCTCTTTCGGATATTTCCTGTATGAAGGGGAAACGCACTGCTGACCCATTCATGGGGGATACGCAGGCATCTGAGTTCTGTTCAGCCTTTCAGGTACTGTGAATACAGCTGCCATGAACATCTCTAAATGGTTTTAGGAGACTATTTCTGTGGTGGTGGGACTCAGACCTAGGGCTTCATTCTTGCTAGGCAAGTGCTCAACTACTGAGCTACCCTCTGACCCTAGAGGTGGCGGCTGCTGTCGTCTGAGTTCCCGTCCCTGTTTATCTGGGCTACACCCAGGACCACGATCACTGAGGCAGACAGTAGACTCATTTAACACTGAAGCCCCACCAGAGGTCCCTCCCAGCAGTGCTGCTCACTCATGGTCCTACCAGCAGAACACGTGGGTTCCAGCTTCTCCACGTGAACGCTTGTGATCTTCTGCTACTTCTCTCCTTTAGTGGCCATATTAGATGACACTTTTTGACTCATACTAACAAGCCAGGAGACTGGCCATCTTTCTATGATGGACTTCTTGGTTGTTGCCTCGAGTTGTACTGCTTTGTGGCTGTGCTAATATGCCACGTTTTAAAAGCAATATTACAATATGAACAGATACAATAGGTCTGAGATTTACTTTAAAACATGACAGTAAAGCCAGGCCTTTAGTCCCAGCACCTGGGAGGCAGAGGCCAGCCTGATCTATAGAGTGAGTTTCAAGATAGCCAGGGCTACACAGAGAAACCTTATCTAAACAAACACCCCACAAAAAAATGATAGTAAAAAATTAGTTCTGGGGTTAGAGAGACGAGAGGGCTTATTTGTAAAGGAGCTTGCTGCACAAGCATGAGGATCTGAGTTCTAATCCTCAGACCCATAGGAAGCTGGGCACAGCATCACACACCTGTAATCCCAGTATTCCAATGCTGAGAGGAGAGGTAGAGACAGGAGAGTCTCTGGAAGCTTCCTGGTTAGTCAGCCTGGCATATGCAGCAGCCAATAAGCTTTCAAATAGAGAGCAAGGCAGAGACTAACATCTGAGGTTGTCCTCTGCCCTCCACATGCACACTGTGGCACATGTGTACCTGCGACTTACATACATGTGCGTGCATGCACATGTACATGCACACAGAAAGCAAGAAAGGAAAGTATCAGTTTTTTAAGAGACAAAAAAAAACATTTTAAGAGGGGAATATGTGTGATCCAGTTGTTGAGGTACAGGGCAAGGAACAGTCTCATTCCTCACAGTGAGAAAAGTTCTGGGTCAGCAAGATGGCACAGTGGGTAAGGGCACTTGCTACTGATCTTGTCAATCTGAGTTTGGTTCCTAGAACCCACATGGTGGAAGGAAAGAATGAACTCACACAATCTCATATCCCAAATAAGTAAATAAATAAGTAAATGTCTTTTTTAAATGTAAAGAAGAAAGAGAATTCTGCTATGCCTACCTGGTGGGCTTCCACTCCTATGGCTTGTAGTGCAGACTTGAAGAACTCAGGGGAGGGTTTCCCCACCACTTCAGCCTTGATACCACAGGCATACTGGTAAAGAGAGGACACAGTGTGAGTTTCAGACCAGGAGCATGAGAGTAGCCACATGAAAGACTGCCTCATGATGGTCAGGGCCTCACAAAGCAGGATGCTATGGGCCTCAAACCATCTCACAGGCAAGCATGCCACAACTCCACAACAGGCTGCTGCCAAGGACACCTACCTCCAGCTCTACTGCCCACTCCAAGGCTGCCCACAGCAAGGGGCATACCATACCTAGAAAAGCCACAAGTCTCTCAAGGGACGGGAGACCAAGGATCTCATTTGCCTGTTCAGCTACAATCCCATCTCTTGTCTCTCCCACCTCCAAGTAGATCATAGGCCCTCCTAAGGGGGTCTAGGATTCAACCCTTCTCAGCTGGGCACAGGTGGACAGGGGCTGCTAGTACTGTGGGGCTGGGACATGGTATAGCAGGAGTCTAGGCAGGGGTAACTGATTGACAGGCCCCAGTCACAGTGGACTCAAGAGGTCTAGCCACTGACAGCTTTATAACCTGAAAAGCCATCTCAGAAAAGGATCCGGGAGGACACATAACCTGAGGCGTTGCAGGGCTGGGAAGGAACAGGTGATCTGCAGACACCAAAGCCATGAGTCAGAGTGGTGAAAAGCATGCTGGGAAAGAGCACCCAGGGGTTGGCTGGGGGTCAGGGGGATGACACACACATAATGATTGTGTGATAACCAAGGTAATGGACCCTTAACTGCTACCTGAGAAGAGAACTCCATTTGTTCCACAGAGGAGACTGAGGTGTGTGGCTGAAAGCCCCACACAGGAGGCCCCCACTGAGAAACATGAAAGGCTATTTGTCTATAAAGTATACCTTCTTCTCCAGAAAGCCTGAAGAGGGAATGGGACAGAACTAGGGCAGGTACCTCGAGTGCCTTCATGTAGCCTCCAACATCCAGCATCAGGCCAGAGGTCTCCTTGTAATAGCGTCTGCAAGACAGCAGAAGGGAAGAGGTGCACAGAGAGCCACGGGTGCGGGTCAGCCCCCGATGCCATGCTGAGAGTGACCGATGGAGGCCACATGGCAGAAGCAGGAAGCCAGCAGCAGTAAGGCATCATGGGTCATTCAGCCACCAGCCCCCTGCTGCTGGCCTTGTAGGGACCCTACCACAATGATTAACCAGGGACCCAAGGGGACAGATGGATCCCGTTACTACCACAGAGGAAGACAAGTGACCCGTGTTCTGGGAAGGGACGGCAGGCCCCCAGAGCATGTGCTGACTCCCTAATTGCTAATAATTAACCCCTAACTGCTGCCTGAGGAGAGAACTGCATTAGTTCCACAGCAGCCTGCCACATCTCCTGTTAGCCGGGGTCAGGCAAGGTGCCAGGTTTCAGGGGCACCAGCTGCTTCCATGAGACAAGAATGTCTTCCCAACCTCCCAGAGACAATGCAGCCTCAGCTCCTCAGACCGTTCCTCAGTTTAGTTCCAGTACTTCGGCCTACAGCCCATCCACATCAGACCAAGGCCTCGAGGTACTTAAAGAGTTTTGGCTGTAAGTCATCCATACCTGGGTCTCTCTGAGCAAAGCCATGTGACCAAGGAGGCAAGAAGGTAGTTTATCCATTATACTCCGGAGATGAGGTTCACTAGAATCCAGGAATGGTACGGGAATCTCAGGTGAGAATTATTACTAAGGGGTCTGCATCAGCTTTCCCTTCCACGTTCAGCAGGAGACATTAACTAAGTATGTGTGTTGAGGACCAGAGGCTGGCTTCAATACTAAAACTCTTTCTCTACTTTCTAAAAAGTGACTTTGGTCTATGTAAGCCTTTAGACCTCAGCTTCCTCACCTGTAAAATGGTCAAAGCAAACAAACCACCCATATCTAGGGCTGTTGTGAAGCCTGGGCAAAATAACACACTACCTAAATAATATCATTCCTTACACGATACCTGAAACACAAACACCACTCAGCAAAGACTGGAGAATGTTACTGTAAATAGCTGTTCACTGGAGCTAAGACAAGAGGCCTTGAGATAGGAGCTCAGTGGTAAAATAATAATACAGGTTCCGGGCCTGGTGGGAGAACTCTGCAATCCAGCACTCAGGAGGCTGAGGCAGGAGGACTGTGAATTCTAGATCAGCCTGAGATACATAGAGATCCCGTCTCAAGGATTTTTTTTTCTTTTCTTTATCTTCTTTTCATGTGTATGTGCCGAAACATGGCCCAAGAAGGGAGTCGTGTGAGAATTCGAAGTGCTTGCGAGAAAACTCCAAGAAAACAAGACAAGACTCTATAACTTCAGTTTCTTCAAAACACAAAATTATTCTTGGAAAGTGTTTTTTGCTCCTCCCAGGTATAGTGGATAGGAGTGAGTTTACTTTAGATACTCGTTATTGCTTGCTGTTGCTGCTCAATTAAATGCTTAAATTATCTGTTATATACCTCTATGGAAAAATGTGTTCTTGCCACATGCAGCTTGTCCTCGTGATTGTATGCAGCTTTTGAACTCATGAAAACTTCACTCATGTGATGTCTCTTAACCCTTAAGAATAAATTGCCTGGTGCTCTGAATAACATTGGCAATTACATGAGACTTTACTCCGACTCACTCTCCATCCTCCTAGGTCCCACCGCCTCTACAGTAGTGACATGTATGTGTGTGGTACGTGTGCACATATATGCAGTGGCCTGAGGCTGAGTGTCAGACTCTCTGGACCACTCTTGCATCTTATCCTTTGGGGGAAAATAGTGCCTCAATCAAATCCAGGGCTTGCTGATACAACTATTCTCACAAGCCAGCTTGCTCTTAGAATATCCCATCTCTGCAAGGCTGGAAGTACAGGCGGTCTGCAACACCCAGCTGGCATTTATGTGGGTTCTGGAGATCCAAACTCTAGCCCCCTTGCTTGCGTGCCAACACCTTTAGCCACTAGGTCATCTCCAAAGCCCTAAAGAATTTTTCTTAAAAGGTTTCTTGGGGCTGATGAGGTAGGTGGCTCAGTCAGTAGAACACTTCAGTTCCCCAGAACCCTCATGAAGCCAGGCGTGGTACCGTGTGTCTGGGATCCCAGCACTCCTGCGACAGACAGACGGGAAGTGGAGACAGGAAAAGCCCCAGAAACTAGCCTGACAAACAACAAAGGGACTCTGTCTCAAACATGGTGGTAGGTGAAGAACGACACCTGAGGTTGTCCTGTGACATGCACACCCTGACATGAGCACACCTATACTTTCAGACACACAGGCAGGTAGGCAGACACAGACAGACAGACAGACAAAGACACAGTCAGAGCCTCTCTCTCTCTCTCTCTCTCTCCCTCCCTCCCTCCCTCCCTCCCTCCCTCCCTCTCC